CAATCTTTGTAGAGAAATAAGAGAGAGAGAGAGAGAGAGAGAGACAACACCTTGGAATTCCTGCACCTGGATTCTGTCCCTTCCCCACGGGGAAAACACCTGCCCAGGTGAGCTGAACCTGCTGCTCCCTCCTGCCTGGGGATTTGGGGTTTTTTTGGGGGTTCTGGGGTGGCTCCTGGCTGGCAGTGTCAGCTCATCATGTCGTTGCTGTTGACGCCGTAGCTCGAGTTCTTCATGGAGTCGTTGACCTCCCTCCGGAACGCCGACAGGTTCTGGGTGAACCTGGGGGGGACAATGGCACAGCTGTCACTCCCACAGTTCCACAATCCCATGGGTTGGTTGGGTTTGGGGCGGGGATTCAACCCCAAATTTGGGATCTGAGGTGGATGGAGTTGGGGGAGAGCTGTAAGGGATTCCTGCTGGGATGGGATTCCCAGAGGGAAAGTGGTGGGGCCTGCATCCCTGGGAGTGCCCAAAGCACTGGATGGGATTTAAGGTCCCATCCCAAACCCTAAATCCCAAATCTCACGATCCCATTATCCATGGACCGTGCCTGTCCCTGTCCTTGGTGAGCAGGTTGTGCTCGATGCCCAGATCCCATTATCCCATCAATCCCATCAATCCCATGATCCCATCAATCCCATGGTCCCACCTGTCCCTGTTCTTGGTGAGCAGGTTGTGCTCGATGCCCAGATCCCATTATCCCATCAATCCCATGATCCCATCAATGCCATGGTCCCACCTGTCCCTGTTCTTGGTGAGCAGACTGCACTCAATGCCCAGATCCCATCCCATGATCCCATCATTCCCATCATTCCCATCAATCCCATCAATCCCACCTGTCCCTGTTCTTGGTGAGCAGGTTGCGCTCGATGCCCTCCATGAGGTTCTCGAAGCACAGGTGCATCGCCTGCTGCTTCTCGGGGGGCTGGCTGTTCACGATGCTGTTCCGCAGGTCCGAGAAGTACTGAGGGCAGGACAGCAAGGGGTTAATTCCATGGGATTGGGGGGAGCAGGACAGCGAGGGGTTAATTCCCCTGGGATTTGGGATTTAGGACAACCCCTGCCCCCCCTGCACGATGCTGGGAGTAAGGAAGGAGCGTCCCAGATTTTGGAGGGATGGGGTTGGATTGTGCAGCTCCAAGGATGATCCTGGCCATGGGATCATCCCAAGGATCATTCCAAGGATCATTGTGAACATGGGATCATCCCAGGGATCATTCCAAGGATCATTGTGGCCATGGGAACATCCCAAGGATCATTCCAAGGATCACTGTGAACATGGGAACATGCCAAGGATCATCCCAGCCCTGGGACCATTCCAAGGATCATTCCAAGGATCATTGTGAACATGGGATCATCCCAAGGATGATCCTATCCATGAGATCATCCCAAGGATCATTCCAAGGATCATTGTGACCATGGGAACATCCCAAGGATCATTCCACCCATGGGACATCCCCTAGGACCATTCCAAGGATTTTCTGGGAGCCTTTCCCAGCAGGATGGATCCTTCACCTTCTCGTTGAGCAGGATGAGGCCGAGCAGGGGCCGGGACATGGACCACTGGTTCCGGCAGTCCTCGAAGATGATGATGTTCAGCACTGTGGAGAGCATCTGTGCAGGCAGGAAAGGGTTAAAGGGTAGAGCCCCTCCAGCCTGGACCATGGATCCCAGCCCAAATCCCATGGATCCCAGTCCATGGATCCCATTCCAACCCAAATCCCATCCCAATCCCATGGATCCAGCCCATCTCAGCCCAAATCCAATCCCATCCCATAAATCCCATCCTGTAAAAATATCTCATCTCATCCCAAATCCCATGGATCCCAAATCCCACCCCTCCTCACCCTGGGAGCTGGGAATCCCCTGGAATATTCCTGGAGGCTCAAGGCTACAACATCCCAGGAACCTTGGGAACCCTGGGGACCTCGCTGCTTCTTGGGGTGCCCAGGTGACTTTGGGGACTCCCCAGGTGACTTGGGGGCTCCCCAGGTGTTTTCTGGAGAACCCCAGGTATAGTTTTCCCTTTTCAGGTGTTTTTGTCCTCCCCAAGTGCATTTTGGAACCCCCTAGGTATTTTTTTGCTCCCCAGGTAGTTTTGGAACCCCTCAGGTATTTTTTGGCCTGCCCAGGTATTTCTGGGGCTCCCCAGGTGTATTTTGGTCTCCCCACACATTTTCTGCCCTTGCCAGATATTTTTTTGTCTCCCCAGGTATTTTTTGGCCTCACCATGTGCTTTTTGCTCTCCCTAGATGCTTTTTGTCTCCCCAGGTGCATTTTGGAACCACCCAGATATTTTTTTTTCCCCTCCCAGTGTATTTTTTACCCTCCCCAGGTATTTCTTTGCCCTCCCCAGGTGTGTTTGGGGCTCACCTGCTGGATCATCTCGGGGTGCTGCTGCATGATGTGCAAGAAGCGATCGCTCTCCTGCGCCAGCGGCGTCGTTCTCTTCTTGGTGCTGCGTGAGAGCTGCTTGAACAGGTAGGTGACAATGTGGTCCAGGCAGGAGCAGCACCCCGTGCACACCGTGGTGTCTGAAATGGGGGGAAAATGGGGAAATATGGAGTTTGGGGTGTAAAAATTAGGGGGAAATGGAGTTTTGGAGGAAAAAAAAAAAGTGGGAGTGTCCAAAGCCAAACTGGGATAATCTGGGATGGTGGGAGGTGTCCCTGGGGTTGGGATTGGATTTCAATCCAACCCAAACCATTCCAAAATTCCACAACCCCATTGATGCCCACTCCCAGCTCTTCCCAAATTCCCGAAATCTCTTCCCAGGAAATTGATATTCCAACAGATTTCCTGTTTTCCTTCTCTCCCATTCCAAGATTCCCCATTTTCCTTCTCTCTCATTCCAACACATTCCATGATCCCATGAATTCCAAACTGGATGGGATTTCAAATCCATTCCCGCTCAAAATCTGGGAATTGGGAACGAGATTTAAAATCCGTTGCTGTCCAAAATTTGGGAATTCAAGAAGGGATTTTTCAAATCCATTCCAACCCAAAATCTGGCAATGGGGCTTCTCCCAATCCATGGAAAATGGGATTTTTTTGACCCTGTAGCTGCCTGCTCCCAGCTCTTCTCGAGTCCCAAATTCCCAAATTCCTGGATTCCCAAATTCCCGGGATTACCCAGCGCGGTGAGGCCCTCGGAGATGGAGGACAGGATGTACATGATCACATGAGGCTCCAGGCTGGCAATGAAGTTCATGTGGTCCTGGGTCAGCACTTCCAGCAGGGAATAATAGGATTGGCTCAGCTTGGGATAATCCTGTGGAAAAAAAACCGGAAAAATCCGCTCCTAAAAATCCCCCTTGGACCGTTGGCATTGCCTGTGTGCATCCCTGGAAAAATCCTCTCCTAATTCCAACTGCAATTCCACCTCCCTTCAGTCATCCCAGGCTGAACATTCCTAAAATTCTCCTGGAATTTTCTCACCCCTCCCCAAAATTCTGTTTTCTCCCTTGTCAATTCCGTTTTGGGGTTTTCCTGGAAGCACCGAATTCCTAAATCCAACCCTTTGGGAATCACCTGGAATGTGCTGGTGGAGCTCCTGGGAATTCTCTTCCCAGAAAATTTATATTCCAACACATTTCCCATTTTCCTTCTCTCCCATTCCAAGATTTCCTATTTTCCTTTTCTACCATTCCACATTTCCCATTTTTCCATTTCAACCCCAAAATCCGGGAATTGGGATGGGATTTCTAATCCATTCCAACCCAAAATCTGGGAATTCGGATTTGGGTTTCAAATCCATTTCAACCTAGAATCTGGGAATGGGGATGCTGCTTTTCCCTGGGGATGCTCCTGATCCCTGGGACTCTCCCAATCCCAGTGACACCCCCAATCCCAGGATTTTTCCAATCCAAATTTCTGACCAGCAGGTCGCTGTGAGGGATGGACAGCAGCAGTTTGATGAAGGTCTGCAGGACCTTGTGGAACATCCCCAATCCCTGTGACATCCCCAATCCCTGAGGAGACCCCAATCCCTGAGGACACTCCCAATCCCTTTCCCAATCCCAGGACTCTCCCAATCCCTGAGGACACCTCAATCCCAGTGACAACCCCAATCCCTTTCCCAATCCCAGTCCTCTCCCAGTCCCAGTTTCTGACCAGCAGGTCACTGTGGGTGATGGACAGCAGCAGCGTGAAGGTCTGCAGTGCCTTGTGGAACATCCCAATCCCTGTGACACCCCAGTCCCTGTGACACCCCAATCCCTGAGGACACCTCCAATCCCAGGACTCTTCCCTATTCCTTTCCCAATCCCAGTCCCATTTTCTGACCAGCAGGTCGCTGTGGGGGATGGACAGCAGCAGTTTGATGAAGGTCTGCAGGGCCTTGTGGAACATCCCCAATCCCTGTGACATCCCCAATCCCTGAGGACACCCCAATCCCAGGACTCTCCCTATTCCTTTCCCAATCCCAGGACTCTCCCAATCCCTTTCCCAGTCCCAGTGTCTGACCAGCAGGTCGCTGTGGGGGATGGACAGCAGCAGTTTGATGAAGGTCTGCAGGGCGTTGTCCAGCGCGTCGTCCCCGTAGAGCCGGAAGACGCCGAAGTTGACGTAGCTGCCGCTCAGCGCCGCCTTCAGCATGGAGAAGCAGATGGAGATTCCCTTGAGCTTCAGCGCGTACACCTGGTCCTTGGGCACCTCCCCCAGCGTCAGGATGCGATTCCCTGCGGGAATTCCCGGTTGGGATCACTGTGCTGGGGCTTCCAAACCACCCCGGGGTGTGAAGTCAATTGCAACCCCAAATCCGGGCACTGGGATGGGATTGAAAATCCATTCCCATCCAAAATCCGGGCACTGGGATGGGAACTGGATGGGATTTCAAATCCACTCCAACCCAAATCATTCCATGATCCCATGAATTCCAAACTGGTTGAGATTTCAAATCCATTCCCATCCAAAATCCGGGCATTGGGATGGGAATTGGGATGGGAATTTAAAACCATTCCAGCCCAAACCATTCTGTGATCCCATGAATTCCAAACTGGATGGAATTTCAAATCCACTCCAACCCAAATCATTCCATAATCCCATGAATTCCAAACTGGTTGGGATTTCATATCCATTGCAACTCAAAATTTGGGAATTGGATGGGATTTCAAATCCTTTCCAACCCAAAAATCTGGGAATAATTTATGTGGTTCCTTTCCCACACCCACAAGGATTTAAGGTCTTTTCAACCCAAACCATTCCATGATCCCATGAATTCCAAACTGGAAGGGATTTAAAATCCATCCCAACCCAAAATTTGGGAATTTTTCCACAGATGAATCCAGGATGTTTCCAGGATTTATCCAAGCTTTTTCTGGATTTTTCCAGGTTTTTTCATGGATGCAGCCCAGGCAGCTCCAGGCTCCCTCACCGTAGGTCGTGATCATCTTGCTGGTCTCCCGGAAAAGCAGGATCCCGTTGGGAGAGGAGACATCAAACTGCAGCCGCTGGGACCTGGGAAAAACAGGGAATGCTGAGAGCCAGAGACTGGGAAAAACAGGGAATGCTGAGAGCCAGGGGCTGGGAAAAACAGGGAATGCTGAGAGCCAGGGGCTGGGAAAAACAGGGAATGCTGAGAGCCAGGGGCTGGGAATGTTCAGCTGGAGAAGGGAAATTCCAGGGAGAGATTCCAGCACATTCCAGGCCCTAAAGGAGCTCCAGGAGAGCTGGAGAGGGATTTGGGATAAGGGGTGGAAGGATGGGACACAGGGAATGGATTTAAACCGGGAAAAGGGAGATTTGATGGGATTTTGGGGAGGAATTCCTGGCTGGAATTCCCCAGGAAGCTCCAGGGGAGACCTCAGAGCCCCTTCCAGAGGCTGAAGGGACTCCAAAGGAACTGGAGAGGATTTGGGATAAGGGGTGGAAGGATGGGACACAGGGAATGGATTTAAACTGGGAAAGGGGAAATTGGGGATATCCTGCTTGTTATAAATGGAATGTAAGACGGAAAAAAAACGGGATTTAGGGGAGAAAAATGGGGATTTAGGGAGGAAAAAATGGGGGAAAAAATGGGGGTTTTGGAGCAACCACACGCAGAGAACGACCCCACCCATCCCAAGAAGCACAGAATCCCATGAAATCCCAAATTTTTGGGAATTCCTACCTGTTGTGGACCAGCTCAGCCATGAGTTTGAGGACGGGCGTGGTGCAGGCGGGGTCGTGGTACCAGAGCTCGATGGCTCTCTGCAGGATGGGCATGTACGAGGGGTAACTGCACGGGGAATTAAGGAATTCCCACTTTTCCAGCCCAAAAAATTCCATGGGGATGGGAGATTCCATGTGTGCAGCAAAGAGGGGCAGTTGCTAGGGTGGCAGGGTGACGGTTCTGGGGGAAATTTGGGGGTTTTTGGGGGCGTTATTGTTGGGTTTTTATCCCGGGAAAAATCAGGATTTCTGGAGGTGTTCCCTGGGGATTTTTGGGATTTTCTGTAGGGGTTCCCTGGGGATTTTTGGGATTTTCTGTAGGGGTTCCCTGGGGATTTTTAGAGGCGTTCCCTGGGGATTTTTAGGATTTCTGGAGGAGTTCCCTGGGGATGTTTGGGATTTTTCTGGAGGAGTTCCCTGGGGATTTTTGGGATTTTTCTGGAGGAGTTCCCTGGGGATTTTTGGGATTTTTCTGGAGGAGTTCCCTGGGGATTTTTGGAGGTGTTCCCTGGGGATTTTTGGGATTTCTGGAGGATTTTTGGGATTTCTGGAGCGTGGCAGGCTGGCTCAGGATACATCCACTCGAAGAGCATCATGAAGCTGCTCTTGGCGTTGAAGGCGAAGGCGATGCCGCGCAGATCCCGCACCAGCCCCACCAGCGTGCGCTGGGAACGGGATAACGGGAATGAGTGAACGGGAAAACGGGAATGGGAACAGGAAAACAGGGAATGA